GGGGTGACCTGTGTGTGGGAACCAGGCTCACGGTGACAGTCCCCAGGGCTGACAGCTGGTGTCACCCACAGCTGGATGACTTTGTGGGTGCTCACCCCGACTACAACGAGGAGGAGGAGGAGCAGAAATACTTCCGCCGCAAGCGCCTGGGTGTCATCAAGAACGTGGTGGCCGCCAGCCTGGCCAGCACCCTGACCTACGGCGTCTACCTGGGTATGGCCTGTCCCTCCCTGGGGACACCCCTGCTGTGGTGTGCCTGTGTCACCCACAGCTGGATGACTTTGTGGGTGCTCACCCCGACTACAACGAGGAGGAGGAGGAGCAGAAATACTTCCGCCGCAAGCGCCTGGGTGTCATCAAGAACGTGGTGGCCGCCAGCCTGGCCAGCACCCTGACCTACGGCGTCTACCTGGGTATGGCCTGTCCCTCCCTGGGGACACCCCTGCTGTGGTGTGCCTTGGGGGGGGTGACACAGCTGCTGGAACCCCCCCTCACCCAGGTTTGTTGGAGATGCAACTGATCCTCCACTACGATGAGACTTACCGGGAGGTGAAGTACAGCAACATCGAGCTGGAGGACATCGACCGGAAGGTGTTGATGGGCATCAACGTCACCCCGGTGGCAGCTCTGCTCTACACACCTGTCCTCATCAGGTATGGTGTCACCTGTGTGTGCCCCATGGGCACCCACACCTCCTCATCCTCATCCTCATCCTCCTCATCCTCACCCTGGCAGGTTTTTTGGCACCAAGTGGGCCATGTTCCTGGCGGTGGGGATCTACGCCCTCTTCGTCTCCAGTAACTACTGGGAACGTTACTACACGTTGGTACCTTCAGCCGTGGCCATCGGGATGGTCATCGTGCCACTCTGGGCTTCCATGGGCAACTACATCACACGGTAAGGAGGGGAGGGGAGTGGACAGGGAGGGACAAGGGGACATCAGCTGACCCGTTCCACCACTGCAGGATGGCCCAGAAGTACTATGAGTACGTTAACTACAAGGAGGAGCACGTGCAGGAGCAGCAGCGGGCGCCGCGAGGTGCCTACAGCGTCTACGTCATCATCTTCCAGACCATCTTCTACTCCTGCTTCCACGTGAGCTCTTGGTGTAGGGTGTGTGGTGTGGGGACAGGGCCACACTGAGCAGCTCAACCCTGAGCTTCCTCCTCTCTTCATCTTGCAGCTGAGCTTCGTCTGTGCTCAGATGCCCATGCTCTTCTTCCTCAACAACTACCTCTACCAGCTCAACCACACACTCTTCGGGGTCAAGCACTGCGGTGAGTCACCACGGTGGGGTGGGACAACGTGGGGACCTCCTCAGTTTGGGACTGAACCATGGTGGGTGGGTGTCCTCTTGGCAGGGACCTTGAGTCACGGGACGTTGCCTGGCTTCAACAAGACGGTTCTGCAGAGTCTTCCTCGCAGCGTCAACCTCATCATCGTGGAGAGCGCCTTGATGGCGGCCGCCTTCCTGGCCATGCTGGTGGTGAGTGACAGGCTGGGGTCAGGGACGAGCTGGGATGTTGGTGGCATCTCAACTGCTGTCACACACACACACAACAGGTCTTGGTGCTCTGTGGGTCGGCCTATAGGCCCACAGAGGAGATCGACCTGAGGAGCATCGGCTGGGGGAACATCTTCCAGTTGCCCTTCAAGCACATGAGGGACTATCGCCTGCGGCACCTCTTCCCCTTCTTCATCTACAGCGGCTTCGAGGTGCTCTTCGTCTGCACCGGCTTCTCCCTGGTAGGGACAAGGCTTGAAGGTGACAGTAGAAGGACCTGGGGACAAGGTTGGGGGTGACAAGGTAGGGACGAGGCTTGAAGGTGACAGTGGTAGGAGCTGGGGACAAGCTTGGGGGTGACAGTGGTAGGACCTGGGGACAAGGTTGGGGGTGACAAGGTAGGGACAAGGCTTGAAGGTGACAGTGGTAGGACCTGGGGACAAGGTTGGGGGTGACAAGGCAGGGACAGCCTCAGTTAGGTCCCTACCTGGTAGGGACAAGGCTTGAAGGTGACAGTAGAAGGACCTGGGGACAAGGTTGGGGGTGACAAGGCAGGGACAGCCTCAGTTAGGTCCCTACCTGGTAGGGACAAGGCTTGAAGGTGACAGTAGAAGGACCTGGGGACAAGGTTGGGGGTGACAAGGCAGGGACAGCCTCAGTTAGGTCCCTACCTGGTAGGGACAAGGCTTGAAGGTGACAGTGGTAGGACCTGGGGACAAGGTTGGGGGTGACAAGGTAGGGACAGCCTCAGTTAGGTCCCTACCTGGTAGGGACAAGGCTTGAAGGTGACAGTAGAAGGACCTGGGGACAAGGTTGGGGGTGACAAGGTAGGGACAAGGCTTGAAGGTGACAGTGGTAGGACGTGGGGACTAGGTTGGGGGTGACAAGGCAGGGACAGCCCCAGTTAGGGCCCGAACCGGTGACAGTGGTAGGAGCTGGGGACAAGCTTGGGGGTGACAGTGGTAGGACCTGGGGACAAGGTTGGGGGTGACAGTGGTAGGACCTGGGGAGCAGGTTGGGGGTGACAAGGCAGGGATAAGGCTTGAAGGTGACAGTGGTAGGACCTGGGGACAAGGTTGGGGGTGACAGGGCAGGGACAGCCTCAGTTGGGTCCCTACCTGGTAGAGACAAGGCATGAAGGTGGTAGGAGCTGGGGACAAGGTTGGTGGTGACAGTGGTAGGACCTGGGGACAAGGTTGGGGGTGACAGTGGTAGGACCTGGGGAGCAGGTTGGGGGTGACAAGGCAGGGACACCTCAGTTGGGTGACATTGAGCTTGTCCTGGCTGCAGAATTACGGGGTGTGTGCCCTGGGGCTGGAGAACCTGGGGTACCTCCTGATGGCCTACGGCGCCTCCGCCTCGGGCTGCTCCAGCCTGGCCCTGTCCAGCCTGCGCCTGCGCCGCCAGGTCCCGCTCCTGGCCGGGGCCGTTGTCCACGCTGCTCTCCTGGTCACTCTCTTCTGCTGGGCACCTGAACCCCGGCACCTGGTCCAAGCGCCGCTGCTCTACGCCATCGCCGTGCTCTGGGGCATGGGGAGCACCCTCAACAAGACTGGTATCAGCAGTGAGTACTGGGAATGTCCCCAGCGTGGCCTCTTCCTGTCCCCTGTCCCCTCCTCCTTGATGTCTCCTCTCCTTGTGTCCCCCTGGCACCACAACATGGTGGTGCTCAACTCCTTGGATCTACAGACAAGGAGTGGGACAGACCCAGTCGTGCTGGCAGTGTCCCAAGAGGGGACAGTGACACAGGAAAGGGACAGTGACAACCTGTCCCCTCTGGCACAGTCCTCCTGGGCATGTTGTACGAGGACAAGGAGCGTCAAGACTTTGTCTTCACCATCTACCACTGGTGGCAAGCCCTGGCCATCTTCACTGTCTACCTGTGGTCAGGGTTACCCATGAAGGTGAGGGTGGCCCACAAAGGTGGGGAGGGGTGGCCCACGAAGGTGGGGAGGGGTGGCCCACGAAGCTGAGGGGTGGCCCACGAAGGTGGTGAGGGTGGCCCACGAAGGTGAGACACCATCCCCACAGTGGCCCATGAAGCTGAGGGTGACCAGGTGAGACCCCATCCCCACAGTGTCCCCCCCCCTCTCCAGGTGAGTCCATCACTCTGGGGGTCACAGCTCCACTCTAACCCCCAGCTTTACTCTCCTGAAGGCCAAACTCTCCATCCTGCTGCTGACCTTGGCGGTGGCCGTGGGGACCTACCTGAGGATGGAGCAGAAGGTGGCCCAGCACGTGGCCTATCGGCTGCCCCGCATCCCCCGCCCGCGGCACAGGGCGCGCGGTTACC